CGAAACCCACATACAGTTTTTTGAGAACTGATCTGTCCGTGTGTCTCGGGATTTTGTAATTACATAAGAGGTCACTCTTGTTCCACCAGCCAGTTTGGCCACACCCTAATCTCCTGTCTCAGGATAATACAGAGAGAATTAAATTGCAAAAAGGATGGCCTCACCTAATACTACAGGCAGTGCTGGAGCTAGGATGTCCTGTTAGAGCTGTCCTGTCTTTGTCAAGGTGGCCAGACTTTGACAGTTTGGATGCAGGTCTTTAGGTGAACTGTGGATGGCAGTTTTCAGAGGACACATCAGTGGAGTGCTCACAGCCAGCAGCTGAGAACTGGCAGCCTACACTATGATGGATGTGTGCTCTAGCACCCACTAGACAAACCCACACACCTCCTCCGCTGCACCTCCCACTCTAGTCTCAGAATGAAAGCATCACCAACACTGATTAATGAAAACAACTGGGAGTGAAGGGGAGGGGTAGGTCTGTCTTTATTATACAGTCAACTATTTTAAAGCACTGTGAAATGGCTCCGCCCTGGATGATCATAGTACCAACTCATCACATAGTTCGTTTGCTTTTTATTTATCTTTTTGAGGGTCTCGCTATGCAGTTGAGGCTGGCCTTGAGCTCACTTTGTAACCCAGGCTGGTCTTGAACTGACAATCCTCCAGCCTTGGCCTCCAAAGTGCTGGGATTACAGGCTTGTGACACCATGCCTGGCTTGCTTTTAGTTTTTAGGGATTACTTTTTCAAAATTTAATTTTGTATATTAATTATATAAATCAAAATGGTTCCAAAATAAGTTACTTCAGAATTTAGCTTTTATCCCTAATCTTCTGTCTCACTATAGATATACATTTAAACAGGTATGGCTTATCCTGTAGAAAGCAGCTTACTGAGCTTATGAGTAGGGCAGCTTGCAAAGGGAAGGATCTCATGTAGCACTGGGAGGCCAGCCTTGTGATAATTAACACACAGTGAGCTAGAACTTGGGACCAAGAATAAACTGTCTCAAGCCCAGTCTCCTCTAGGGAATTGGAGCCACTTCCTACCAAGTTCCTTGAATTCCAGGAATTTAAATGGAAAATACCTAATTTCTTTCCTCTAAAATCTGTTTCCCTTTAACATTTTTCTCCACAGAAACACCTGTAATACTTGGGCACAAAACAATCCAACAATTCTTGTGCTTTTCATGTTCATAATGAGGAATAGATTGGGACTCCTCCCGGAAATCCAGGAGCTGGTCTTATTTCCAGTAAAGCTCTATCTTCCTTTTTTCTACAACTTTATTCCTTTTGTTGAATAAGCAACTTAATGTGTATGTTAACATTTCCATTTAAAAAACACAAATAGACAGACATACTCATTCTCCCCTTTTTTAAGATAATCAATAGTATACTGTGATAATTTTATGTGACAGTTTGTGCCACAGAATAAGTAGATACTTGGTTAAACATTCTGAGTTTTTCTGTGAAGGTGTTTTGGGGTAAGATTATATTTAAATTGGTAGATTGAACAAAAGTAAGTCTTCTTCAGTTGAAGGCCTGGATAGAACCAAAATGCTGGCTCTTGGCACAAAGGAAATTCTTCCTGAGTCGGTGCATTTGAACTGAGGCACTGGTTTTAGGAACTAAGACATTGGCTCTTCCTGGGCCTAGAATCACGGGTTCAGCAATCTGGGATCTTTAGCTTACTGGTTCACTGTAGATCTACAATTCTGTCAGCCCCTTTAATGTCATGTGACCCAAGCCCTTATAATTTCACATGTATATGAAATTATGTCTGGTTCAAACCAAGGATGTAACTTAAGGTTTTTCAATTAATCTTTCTGATAAACACTGAAGTCACTTTAGTCTTTTGTAATAACTAGTTTGGCAGAGACTGTAATTTACTCAACCATTCCCTTATCGGTGGGCCATTACTTTACTTCACTTACAATTTTCTTGCTCTGCAAAACGAGTGCCGTATGAATAGATCCCCAAAGGCGGTCATGAAGTACGTGCACTGTGTGTGCACTTTTCCTTTGTCAAACAAAATTTAGAACATGGCACATTTCTTTTTAAAAATGCCATATTCACACTCAGTGTATGAGGTCCCCATTTCCCGAATTGTCTCTAGCTCTGTATAATCATATTTCTTTTAATTTCTGTCAGTGGGTAAAGACTGAATCTATCCTTTTAACATGCGTTCCTGACAGCTAGTGAGAATAAGCATTTCTATGTATTCACGGGCTACTGAAGCTTAGGTTTCCACGACTTGTCTATTGTTCTTTGAACCTTGTTTTTCTTACTAATTTTTATACTCAGTATGTCTCAAATATCAACTGTCATGTTCATACTAAACCAAATGATTATAGGCCCATAAAAAATTTTAAAACATTGCTATATACTTTGGCAAGAAAAGGTCTTTCCATAAGTTTAAGATTATGAGGTAACCTTGTAACAGCTATTACCTAGTTCTTTTTCTCTGACATTCTATAAACCCAGTGATCCTAAAATATGAATCATCTTGATTTTATCATATATGTTATTTTCAGGTAAAAACATTCCATTTATATCAATAAACTTACAAGATAATTAGGCTAATATTTATTTAATCTTACACTGTAATTTTCTCATCTTTTTGTTTTCTTGAACCTTCTATTTTCCTGTTTTGATCCAAGCTAACTGTCCTTAAAGACTGACAAAAAATTTGGCTCTGAGATTCACCTACATCCTGTGAATTCCCCTCATCTTCCCCCTGGGCTATGTCTTTTGCTGGCTGGATCCTACATCCCATCTTTATGTCAGAGGTGCACATCTTTTAGCAGCTTTCTGAAAAAAGAAGGCATGAGAACCATTTTTGAAACTCTTGCATGTATGAAAACACTATAATCTCACATTATTACTAAAAATTTGGTTAGTATAAGTCTGGATTGAAATGGTTTTCCTCCTCAGAATTTTGAAATAATTTATGACTGCAAGTACTGATACCTGTTCTTGTGACTTTTATTTTAAAATCTTTTAGAATCACAATGATGTGCCCCCATTCATAGCTGAAACTCAATCCCTAAATTAGGAGGTGGAGGCTTCACGAGCTTAATGGGTCCTGAAGGCAGATCTCTGATGATTATGGTCTTTCATATAAGAGGCCCTTTATACAAGAGCTTGCCTCGCCTTGAGAGGACACAGCAAGAAGACACCTTCTATGTGGAAATGGGCCCTTTTCAGACACTCAATACACTGAGGGCTTGACCTTCAACCTTAAGCCTCCAGAATTGTTAATAAACAAACCATTCAGACTGTTTGCATGTGCTTGGTGCAGGGCCCTTCTATTGAATTGCTCTTGCCTCACAAGTGTCTGTGAGTCTTTCCTCACTTCACCGGACAGGCCTTCTCCTACCCATCCACACATCATGGAAACACTAACTTACCCTGTCTTGATACTTCCTATTCCTTGTCCTCAGCTTTGTTTTTCTCCACAGCACTTGGCATCCTCAGCACATATTTACTGTTTGTTTTCCCCTTGAATTTATGCTCTGTGTAGCTACAGCAATGCTACAGCTGATGCTCAGAAAGTTTTTCTAAAGAAGCGTGTGAAGGAAGTATGTAAGACTAGTTGTGGTTTAGATGCTGTACTTGATAAAGTATGCGTTCATACTTTATGAAGTTCAAGTGTGCTCTAGCCAAGGTTTTCACTACTTCTGATAGATCACTACCAAACTAACGGATATCCTTCCCATAAATGAAGGGAAAAAGGAAAGGAGGGCACTGAATGTAAGGGGACAGGGATGTACTTGTTCCCTGGGCACAGAAGACACACACCTGTCCAGTGATCAATGAACAGATCTCCCTGAATGCTATGCTGTGTATCCTACTCTAGCATTTTTATATAAACTTGAGCTGATGAAGTCACAAAAATCAGACTGAATTTCCTATTCTTTCAAGAGAATGGGTCTTGGAGTTTGATTTATTTTACTTACCTCCCAGAAATTTTGCAGTCTAAATCATACATGTCATGAACCTAAGGAAATGTTTCAAAGAGATCATATGAGGAAGGAGGGCTCCCAGAACCTAAGGAAAACCATGGCCTAATTGGAAAGGGAACCCTACTCAGTTTCTGAGATAACACTAACCAGGAAAATGTGGGTGTGTGTCTTGCATCTCGATGTCTTCCCAAAGCCTCTCAAAGCCAGGGTGGTGCTTTTCCAAGGTGACTGGTCTAGGGCATGCGCTGCTGGGACCAAAGCTGCAATGCTACGATTGGTTCATGGTGTGAGTGCTGGATAAAATACAAGGGCGCATTCGCCCTTGCTTGTTGCTTAATGCAGTTACTGTTGTCTTCTGCTCTACAGGCCCCACTGCCATGTGCCACCGTGCCTTGGAGTCAGCCAACTGAGAACTGAAACCTCTACAAACTGTGAGCCAAATAAATTTTTCCTTCTTCAACTCTGGGTGCAGAGCACTTTGTCTCAACAATGAGAAAAGTAACTAAGACAGTAGGCTAATTACTAAAAAATATGTTAGAACTTAAAATTAGTTCAGCGTTGACTTTGGGGTAGGATATTCAAAGATTTTGTGTTTGAAATCAAATTGGTATTTATTAAAACTATTTTTCATCACATGGAGAAGAAATGAGATGCAAATCGTAAAGCCATTTGTATAAAAGTATTTAATTTTCTTAACATACACATTAGAGAAAGATTTGTCTATTCCCACTGTAGATCTTATCCTACATAATAAAATACTATGAGATACACCATTCCCCCGTCCCCACCTTCGGTGTTGTGAGACATGGTCTCATCATGTCATCCAGGCTAACTCACTATGTAGTCCAGGGTGGCCTGGAACTCACAGGGATCCTCCTGCTTTAGCCCCTCAAGTGCTGAGATCATAGGCATGTACCACCATCACCAACCAGAGATACACTACAAAGAATTTGTGAAATACTGAGCTTCAGAATAATTTAGTGACTTCAGTGTCAAAATGTTGGTATGTCTTAAGTAAATCAACATTAACAGCTGTTTAACAGTGATAAAATATACCTTTATTTTTTTTGAGTCAAAGGGTTGTAAAAAAAATTATTGCCAAGGTAGATATCAGGCAAACAGAAAGGTGCTTTAGAAATTCAGTTACCTTGGAGTTTATTTAAACTAAGAGGAAAAGGTCATAATGTTTTCATGCAATACATACTTGGTTCTTCAAATAACAATAGTGACAAATAGCAGAAAGAATTAAGGAATGTTGCACTTATGATCCATACAAAACACCAACATTTTGGATTGTACATAATTAAAGACACCTCACTTTCAAAATACTGTAACAGCCAATACACAGAGGCATGCCTTAGGTGGCACAGGAATGCAGTTTAGAAAACAACAACAACAAAAAAATCACACCAGAACTATACAATTTCTTTAAAATCACTGAGCAAGAAAAGCAACATTGAACTTTCATACTGATTTTATACTTTTATACAGTACCTTGACTTAAATCCAAGAGCAAAAGTTAAGACTCTCCTCCTCTATTTTTGGTAAACAACTGTATGGTAAACTTAGATGACTTGTCCCCCTGGGTTTTACCTGGGAGTGGTCTTTTTAATATTTTATTTAAAAGAGGGCAGGTTTGGCACTTTTATACTGATGTCACCAATGTTAATATTTCTTGGGATCTCAGGAAGATTCATATTCTTTACAGCTGATACAGCACGGGCTGGAGCTCCTGCTAAGCCAGCCTGTATATAGAAGTAAATAAAAAAAAAAAAAAAAGGAAGAAAGAAAATGTATAACTCAGGTGTAGCTCATTATAAAACACTATGGAAAACATTGACAAAAAATTTTCATGTAACAAGCTTAGAGATCGGATGATATTTTGAATTGGTATGAGATGGTTACTTTGAGATACTAATCTATAAAGAGAAAAAAACTGACACATTAAAAAATGGTGAATACATGCAAAAACAACATAGGATTTAAATACAAATTTTGTACTACCTAATTATCACACACAATATCCACAAGACAAAAGCTAAATCTTTACCTATATCTTGATTTAATATATAATATGAACACAAGGCATAATTTATATTAGTTTCCTTATTAAACATCTCACATAGCAATTATGACAGATATTTTTTCTTTTAAATGGCACTTATTATCAATATGTGCTGTGAAATAAAAAACTGCAAGTAACAGATAATAGTTTCTTTATTCAGGGGGAAATCTTTAAAATATTTCAAAACGGTAAAATTCGTTTTTAAAACTATAGGGGCTCTTTTAAACTTTTTAAAGAAAGTTCTAAAAAAAATTTTTTTTAAATCAGGCTTTTAAGTGAAGCCACAATCCAAAGAGAACAGGTCTAGCTAAAAATGGAACTATAAGGTCATTCTAACCTTTTAATCCATTTGCAAAAATCTAACTATAAAAATTATTTTGTCATATAAACTAGCTTTGACAACTATGTTCAGTTTACCGTCTATAAATTTAGGAAAAGAACATACATAAATAAATGCATTATAAAATTTCTAGTAAGTACTTAGTACATAATATTTGGCTTCCTCCTAGTAGGAAAAATTTTGTCAAATAATTTTGTAATAAAATATGCTTAAAAGAACAATGCATATATATGTATATATGAAATTTCTCTGAATCAGTTAATATCAATAGCCTTCATATTTAAGATTTAATTTATATCTCAATATTTCATCACTTTATATAGTTAAAAAAATTTCATCATTTTTTATACAATAAAGCAAGCCAACAAATACATTTGAATTTAGTAGCATCTTGCACCAAAGTAGACAAGTAATAAAACTAAATTTTCCATTTGTTCAGATTAATTCATGAAAAATATATGTAAAATTAGAAATTTGTAAAATTAAAGTCCTTTTTCAAAATTTTAGTTTTTTCTTTTATGTAATCCTACCTCTTTTGTTAATTAAAATAAGATTAGTAATAATAAAGCTGTTACCTGAGAAAAATCTTGACTGATACAAAATAGGCCAGTGTAAACTACTTGCTGAATAAAGGATACAAACATTGTTAAGCAATGAAATAAAAGCCATGAATTATCAATTGTGAATTGGAACAAAAAATTGATAAAATAGTATTTTATGTATTTTAGGTATGATAGGCAACGGGAAGAGTGATATGAATGAAAAACTCCAAACCCAAAGAAAAACTATATAGGGCTGGAGAGTTTAAATTTTATAATTTAATGGAGGTTAGTTATTTTTCATATAAAACTAAAAATATGACTACTTCTACATTTATACCTACCTGAAATAATGAAGTTTGTTTTATCTCACTTCCCTCCTGCTCCCTCAGAAGAAGTTAAAGACACAGCTAACTATTATTTAAGTAACATGTATCATACTCAAAAGGTTCTTTAATTTGATCATCTCAAATTAAAGGTCTAGATACCAAACTTTAGAATGGTTATTTTACAAAATTTCAGATGTACTGGAACTAGCATCAACTGCCCAGTAGAAATTTTGTAATTTTTCTAATTAAAAGATCAATTTACCACTACTTTCACATTGGAGTTTTGATAAGGGTGGAAATAAGTGGACTATAGAAAAGTACTGATAAAATACTTAAAATACATTTTAAAAGTTAGAAATTCTGAAGGACTTTATTATTTTAGAGAATGAAGTGTTTCTGTATATTTTACTGAGTTCTATGGTTTAATTTATAAATAGTAAACATTTTGCTTAGTGCTAACTATGTGTCATGAAGCTTTACTTTCCCTAACTCCCTGCGCTGGGTACAGCTATATTAAGCTGAAATAAAGAAAATGAGAATAAAAACTGCATCCTATTAAGTATCATTAGATTAAGCTGCTTCTTTTTGACCAAAGATGGTGTCAACTGTTGGCTGCTAATAAGAATAGATAAAGTCAACATAGCAGTTCATTTAAATAGCATATATGTGCCTTATGATGCAAAACCAGAACTTTCTAAATGCGGACAAAAATCTTTAACTCCTCTGAAGGTAAGCAGCAAGCCATAGACATGCAAAGGATAGGGACTATTTAGAACACGCAAATGAATTTAAACTGAATCAAATTATTTCTCAAGCATGTCCAATATTTTTATGTAGTATATCATAAATATAAGTGGTTAGATATTTTTAAATTGTACTTCAAGTTTGATTCTGCAAAATATAAAATATGAAAAAATGAGGATTATGATCAATAAACAGATGCTTAGATGGGGAACAATGTTTATATATAAAAACGATGGCTTAAACATAAACACTGTTACTTGCATAATACCAGAATGTTTATAAAGGAAATTTCTTTTTCAGACTCCCATGAAAATAAAGTCTGAAGCACTTTTATCTAAATATAAAATGCCAAAGAGGTAATTTGCCATTAGGAAATCAATTTACTGGCACAAACAGGTAAAGTGATTTTTATCTTAAGATTTTTTTTACAGTAAAGATACACTCAAAGCAATAGGATAGCTTTTACTAACACAACTTTTTCAGTATTAAAATTTATCTAAATCAAGTTGACGTGACCTGTTAGTAATACATATAATTTAAAAATGTAAAATAAAGTATTCCTAAAAGGACAACATAGTTCTTAAAAATTTAAGATTGCATAGTTGACACAAAGCAAAAATATGAAGAGTGAAATTCTACTGGAGAAATAACTTGTTTCCATCTACGTCATACTCGATCGCCACCATGGCAAGTAGACCGCAGCAATTCCACTAACAAAAACAAATACATGAGTCCAAAGCAGTCAGGAGTGTGAACTGGATGAAAGAATGAAGTACAGTATATAAAGGAATGGTCATGTTTTCTCTCCCATGAGATTAAATTAACAGAATTAAGAGAAAGAAAACAAAATGAAGTCTGCAAGTATACCAAAATGAGGCCAAACAGATAAAAGACTTATACAGACAAACTCTTGGGAATTTCAAGCACTCAAATCACAGAGATAGTAATGGATGGATATGATTTGTTTTTGATTTTGTTTTTAAATTGCCAGACCCAAAAATAAACAAAATATGTGCAAGCAAAACTGAAAAAGCAGCATAGCTAAAATATATTTCGAAGAACCTGAAGGCTCCCTTTTCCTCATGCAGTTAACCTTCTGGCAGGGAAATGGAAACTAACAATCTATTTATTCCATGCAAGTAGGTATCACCTTACCGCTTTAAAATATTTTCATGAAGCTTGGAATATTACATAGGAAGATGGTAGTGGAAAAATCTGTATACACTAAAGCCTTTCCTCATTCTTTCTGCTGCAAGTTGCTATCTGCAACAATGGTAATTTTGACCTAACAGCAAGTGAAGGATCGCCAACATTAATAAACATGGTATTAATTGGTTTCAGACTTTGAATGCATATTTTTGAGCAAAAAGAAATTTTCAGTATTTTAATTTCTGAGGGTGAGACAGAATAATTTTTAATTTGAGGATCTGCACAGGCTTGCTGTTTGCTTTAAAGGCAGCGCTTCAATGCTGCAATTATAACATACGTTAAAATGCTGGTGACAACCTTCTAGTGAGAAACAACTACAGCATTTTATAAATGATTTTATCAAAATGAGGATGTTTAAAAATTTTAGAACTTTAAAATGATTGTCATTTTATACATTATTTTTGGTTATACTTTTAACTCCTAACATGATTTGTCAGTATGAAAGGAGAATTTTTTTTTTTGATACTGGGGATTGAACTCATGACTTTGCGCTTGCCAGGCAGGCACTTAAGCTGCTGAGCCAAATCCCTAGCCATTTTTCCTTATTACAAGTAACCTCAGTTTAATTTTGTGGAATAAAAAATAAACGTGTATGTCAAGATAGAGGGAGAAAATCCACTCATGACTTCCCACATCTTAAGGCCAGTTTTCTTATTCTAAACTGTTTAAAAATAGATAAATCACTTGAAAAAGAAAGTCAATCACTAGTTCTAGAGATGGAAGTTAATAGCCCCAAGTGGTTGATGGTTCCTTTGCTAGAAAACAGCAGTTTCATATGAACTAACCATTGAAACTGGAAGCGATCTCCATCAACTCTATGTATTTTCCATACCAAGGATAAAGTAACATGGTATAGGACCAAAAACTCCCTATATAGTCCATAATCTCAGAATAAGACATTAGAAATTTGCTCTTTCTCAAATCCAGACAGTATTAACACTGTCATAACTAAAAATGAATCCCAAATTCTCAGAGTTTTTTTTAATTACTCAAGTGGGTAACTGATCGTGTTACGTTATAGATTTTTTTTCTCCACAGGAGTCAAATTTTCACTAGAAAATTTTGATTGGAACCTTAAAAGCATTTTTACTCTTTTCTAAGAGGGCTCTGTGAAATAAAAAACTATTTATCACAAGCTACATGATATTTTTCAAAAAGGAATTCACTTCATTAATTTACAGTGTAAAAAATATGTATAGAAAAGAGAAAAAAGTTTTATAAAGCTAGAAATCCATTAAAAACATTTCCAATATTTATCAATATTCTATGCAAAACTATTCAGATTTTACAGAATGTGGCTGATTCTTATTGTAACATATTTAGATGTCAGAGGTTTGCTACAGTAGAAATCCATTAAATTAAAAATTAAAAATCCATAATATTCAATTTTGGTCAATATATTTAATTTATTTTTAGAGAAATTAAGTGTTAGATTCCAATCTTCCATTTTGTTGGCCATTATTAATATGCACCTGCAGGTCAAAACTAGAAACGCGATTCTGTTAAGACTCTGGAGCTGAAAATCATTCTGAGGTGGGAGTTATTATTCTAAGCCTTTACTTCCTCCCATTTTGATACAGAACTCTAGAGGTTCAACTTCTGGTTTTTAAATTTACAGATACCAAAACTCAGTAGGTGACTCTGCGTTAGAATTCTACTTTAGAGACAAAAAAAAAAAAAAAATTTAGAGATGGAGAGTTAAATTAAGATTGGTTCTGCTGTATCATGCTCAAAATAGTAAACTAAGTTTTTACATACAAAGTATATTGTCATTTGTACAATTTGTCACTTAAAATGACAATTTTTTAAAAAGAAAGAACAAAAATTTAAACTTTCCTTTTACAATGCAGGCAGACAAAACAGAACAAACATGACATCAATGATATACTACTAAAATACACTAAGTCCAATAAAAAATGAAAACTACAGGAGGAACTAGAATGAAAAATAGGCTACAGGGACTATATGGGTTCATTAACACAAAGAATTTTTGAGTCTGGCCTAAATTATTAATTGCCTTTGACATCATTTTGCTTTCCCTTTGTTAAAGGACATTTTTTTTCTCAAAGTCAGCAATACCTTGTCTACCTGTCCTGTCTGGGAGACTGAAAGATAAAGGTCTGTAAGAGAGAAGAATGGAAAGAGCTAAAAAGATCAGGATGTTCAGAAAAAGAGGACTGACTTAAAAAGTAGTGACTGAATTCAGACCCATTTATCCATCTTAAAAATAACATGAAATACACAAAAGCTAACAACTCCCCGAACCCACCCCTCTACCTCCACCCTCCTCCCAGAGAGTTTATTTGCAGGCAGATTCATGGATGCTTCTTAAAATTTCCCCCCAGGCCCCCCCAAATTTCCAGCTCAGGCCCCCTTCTCCCAAGATCCCATGCTACAGTAAATCACTTTTTCTATCCAAATAGACTGGAAGAAAAATATATTCAGAGCATATCTTTCTTTCTCCCTTTTTTGAGGATCTGGTAGATCTTTGCTTGAATCTATCTGGGTGCTGAATTAACTGGTCACTTCCTTCCATCTTTAAAATGTACCGTCTTTAACTCCATACAATAAAATCTCTTGATTTCTGACAGACATCTTCATAAACCCAATTTGAAAGGTGTAGCTTAATTATATTCAGACTGACGTTTTAAAAAGATAAATGCTACTCCTAAAACACTGCTTACATAAATTTTAAAAATATAATAATAAGTTCATGGACAATGATATTTGGGGTTTTAATTAAGTTTTCCTTAAGTTTTTACTTTATAATGTCTTAACTGAAATTTAGTAAGAGATTAGTAAGTTTATATCTTGCTCTCAAATAACTGTGGATTAGCCTACAAAGTCAGATCTCTAATAAATTTAACTAGTAACATGGAAATAAAAAGCATACGGAAAGTTTCAACCCCTCAAAAGTGTTTGGAATAAAGCTGGTAGACTTCCAAATATACTTAAAATATGTGATAATTTCTGAAAAATGGCACAAAGTCAATCTAATTTAAGACTATTCCTTAAAATATGAACAGAAGTAAATGGATTCACTGTGACTCCAAATCCTATTTCATAATTAAAACAAAATTAGCAGAGAAACACCTGAAAACATAATTTTATGGTCTATCTCCAATCTGATTAAAACATACCTTCTTACAAGGTACAGGGGGAAAAAAACAAAACTAATTTGGTAACAGATAACAACTGATCATACATGTTAAAATATGATTAGTGGGTAATAAAAGCATTCACCAGTACTCAAAACTATTTAAATAGAACTGTTTTTGTAAAGAGAGTTCTTGGAAGTTTAGGAATTTAATAACTATTGTATTCAATCAAAAATACAAATTCTGAATCTTATAGCTTGCTTGCCTGCTGGCTTCCTTCCTTCCTTCCTTCCTTCCTTCCTTCCTTCCTACCTTCCTTCCTTCCTTCCTTCATTTATTTATGGCGACAGGGCCTCCTTATTCAGGCCAATCATGAATTCCTTACTGCCTGGGCCACCCAAGTGCTGAGATTACAGGTATGTGTCACCATGCCCAGCTACTGTTTTATACTGATAAGAAAACCTGTTACATTAACAAACTTTTACTGGACAATCAAAAAGCAAATATTCATAATGCACTTGTTATAGGTCCTTCATGACTTCTGTATACTGCATATAGTACACTAAAGAGCGAAAGGAAAAAAGGAACACCACCAAAGGAAGGAGGCAAGTACCTGGAAATGTGAAAATTGCAAACAGCTCGTCAATATAGTTTTATTGATGTTGGTACAAATTCACAAATGATCTATTCATCTTAGACTTATTATTAACAGATTATGTCACTATATCTTGGCATTTAAAATCTATAACCATAAAATCTGAATATACTTAAAAGTTATTTAAAACTTCATGGCTTAAGTTTACAGTTTTTTATTCAACTAAACACTACATTGCAAGTCAATTATGTTAAATAAGTCATTTTCCTTCTTAAGCAACATTTTCTCCAATAACCTGTTTTGTTTCCTCTTTTTAAAAATTAGTATTTTAAAAATTAGCTATAGAACACAAAAAACATATACTATAGTTATTGAAATAGTCCTAAATTTAAGTTCCTCATCACTATTACAAGGCTCTTGGGAAACCAATAGGAATAGGATATTGCAATATGTGAAGTGTTTTTATACAAAGTTACTCTTCAGTTCAGACTTATCTGTCATTATGTATTTCTTTTAATTCAAATAAGCATAGAAATTTGTAAAATTGATCCTTTAAAATGTCAACAAGATAAAAAATTTAAGAGCTCCCCTGAAGTAAATTAGTGCTACTTTGCTTTTTTATAGTAGTATTCACTTTAAAACAATCAAACATCTGAAACCTCATGCTGTAATGGTGAATGTTTTTTCCAATCTAAGTTTTGAGCATAAATAACAAATATAACAATATCCTCAAATAAGGGTAGCACTGAGTGAGTTATTAAGAGAACTCACCTTTGTAAATTCTGCTACGGTAGTAAGAAACCACCAAAATAATGTCAACATAAGTGGTTCAGACTCTTTCTTGTGGCAAGAATCATTAGAGTTTTAAAGTAGCACTTTATAAAATACTTAAGTGCTAGTGTCCTTCATCACCCACTGCAACACTAAAGCTAACACCCAAAAGTTGGTGAAGTATAAAAACAAAAATTTTTTCCTGTAGAACGTAATAAAATAACAAATACATGTATTAATGTGCAAAATATGTGGCTCAACTAAATGGTCAGCGACTTTGCGGGACAATCCAGAATTAACAGATGGAGATACTGAATTTCTCTTTTCATATACACTAAGACTTACTACTAAGCACTACAGTAACTTACACATTACTCCCTCAGTAAGAATTTCAGTTTTTCTCCCTTTTACTGAAACAAAATATGGAATCAGGTTTATTACTCAAAGCAGTCACAACTGCGGTTAAAAGAATATATAAAGTTTTTTGGTCGATAATACTCACTGGACATTTAACATACCAAGATGTATGTACTTCCTTTTTAAAAACTAAGTCAGTAAATCCAGCTGTACCTGAGAGCAATCCTGAATGACAAACCACAAAAGCTAAATCATACATCGTTTATGACTGTGCTTAGAGCCTGTGACAACTAAAGCACTTTCCATTCTTACCTCAGATTTCTCCAGTTTATTTTGTGCATCAATTTGTGTAACAATTTCATTCATGTTGGTCTCTAATACCATTCCCCCCATCACCATTTCTGCAAGAATATTGTGAACCTAAAGGAAAAAAATAATATAAACACACAAAGAAAATTAATTATTGAAAAAATTTCACATTTCAATAGTTTTTGTTTCACATACTGCTATTACAAGTATGAACAGTAAAAATAATTTGGAGGGAAGGGTCATAAGTCACTTTCATCATTATTATGAAGCTGCAGGCAGTTATGTGACCTCTTTAAGTCTTAGTTTAATGGTTGAAAAACACAAATAATAATAGTAACTTCTTCATAAGACTGTTCAAAGATTAAATTTTCTAATTCCTGAAAATACCCAATACAAAGTAATTGATAAATATTAACAGTAATTCCTCTTTTATCTACAATATCATATCCTAAGGTTCCAATTACTTGCAGTCACCTCTGGCCTTAATATATATATATATATTTATTTATTTATTTTGGTCTTTTTCGTTTTTTTATCGGTACCAGCGATCAAACTCATGACTGCCTGCTTGCAAGGCAGGCGCTTATGCCACTGAGCTAAATCCCCCTGGCCTTAAGATAATAAATAGAAAATTGCAGCAATAAATAATCTCTATGTTTTAAACTGCATGCCTGGTGAAATTTTGGTTACTCAGTTCTGAGCTGTTCAGGATGTAAACCATCCTTTTGTTCAGTGAATCCACACCGTATATGCTATTCACCTGACAACATGACAACTCAAACAGGATCATCCAAAGTGAATGCTCCTTCTGATATATAGTTAAAAGGTCAACAGTAGCCTAATGCTAGATCATAATGCTTACATCATTCACCTAAATTAATCCCATCAATTAAACATTGTACTATTTCATATCATCAAGCAAAAATAAGTACAAAAAGAAATTTTGAAAAACAACCAGATTGCATTCATAATTTTTATCATACTGTATTGTGAGAGGTATATTATTTTACTATTATTGCTGTGGCTTTTTTTTTTTTTTTATCGGTACCAGGGATCAAACTCACGACTGCACGCTTGCAAGGCAGGCGCTTATGCTGCTGAGCTAAATCCCCAGCCCTAATTGTGACTTATTTATAAATTAAACTTTATCAGAGGTATATATGCATAAGAAAAAACACAGGATAAAAACAGTTTGGTGCTGTTATAGTTTGGATCTGCAGTATCCCTCAAAAGTCCGTGTATCAAAGGCATGGCTGTCAGTCTGAGGTACTGCTACTGGGAGGTGGCAGAACATTTGAAAGTTGGGCACACCGTGGGAGTCAGCTGAATCACTGAGGGCATGTTTTCAAAGGTGCTATTGGGATCTCAGCCCTTTCTTACCACTCTCTCTGATTCCTAGCTAGCAAGAGAAGGTCTTCTCTGTCATACACCTCTGCCATAATGTAGTGCACTGTTACAAGCTCAAAGGAACAGGACCAAGTGACTGCAGACAGACATTTCTAAAATTATGAGCTAAAAGAAACCTTTCCTCTTTTTAAGTGAATTAACAGATACAATCTGTATTGTTGAGCATCCATTAAGGGGTCTTGGAACATATCACCCTTGAATAAATTTTATTGAATTACTGTATTGGAGAACTACTCTAAAATTATTGCTATAACATCAAAACAGTATAATCTCAAGTTTAAAACTCTAAATGACCCACAAGGGCTTTTTTTAAAACCAGATTCTTAGTCAACAATTATTAGGTTGCAATTTTAAACTTAAGGTTCTTAATGAAGCATTGTAGCACTGTTAACAAAATCTAGATAGTAAAAATGAATTTTCTTTTTACACAGACACTTTAATAGTCCTTTTACCCCAAATTCTCCATATATGTAATAGTCATATTTTTAATCATAAATACACCTGATAATATTAAAAATAGTATTTGCTACTGGGGGGGTAAAACATATATTTAAGATTTTAAAAATAAAGTATGGACACAAATCAACAATTCAGAGCTGAAATAGGTTTTATAGGATAGTATATGCAGCTATAATTTAAGTAATATGAAATTAAAAGACTGAAATTAGATATGCTTTCTGACTCTACCAGTTATTATTTGTATGATTTTAAGCAGTTACAGCACCAAGCCTGTTACCTTACCTACAAAACACAGAAACAGTACACTACAAAAATACTGTAGCTGCCCCCTAGAGTGAGTCTAATAATAAAAGTAATTCATGTAGGTGCTTAGCACAGTACCTATTAGGTATTTTAAGATAATTTTTTTATAAAAACATTTTAAAGGTTAAATTTATAACTATATTATTCAGTTTTCATTATTTTATACGATGTCACACAAATGCAATGCATGTATTTTCACATTTTTTTACTAATACTTGTTTGCAGTACACCACTACATTCATTGTGGGGAGCTGGTACATGTACATAACACAAATTAATTGTTTTTAATTCTCCTTCCCTTTCCACTTTTCTCCGTAATTCATGATTTAAAAACTAGTCTATTAACTATAATTTTTAATTTTGGAAGTCTTCATTTTGGAAATGTACAAATTTTGAAAAAAGATTTAAAAAAATTATCTTTCCCAGAAAACAAAAATCAAGTAACAAGCCATAGTTCTTTCAAACACTAGTGCTAAATAACATCACTTCTAATATCATTACTGCTACTAGACAGCATTTTTTAAATGTTTGGATGCTGCACTTAGGGTATGTAAGTTAATCCTCATAGTAACCTCTATTACAATAGAGAGAATAAATACAACTCACTCAAAAATACATATATTTGTATACAAATTTGTTCTCAAAGAAAAGTAATTCCTTTAACAGCCAATCCAAACCTGGTAGTCCAAGTCCTTGCAGTGAATGAAAACAAAGATCAGCTAAGTAATTAGACAATATAGAAAAATTACCTTATTATCACCAATACAAAAAGAAAAAGGTATTCAGAAAGTCCATTGCTAGTGCATTAGGTATTTATTAAAACTTAAGCTTTGGAAAAAGAAACCTCCACCCCTGAAAACAAATTCTCATAAGAAAGCATAATTTAGCTCCTAAAACCACAGCAAGTTTCCCAGTTCCTTTGCTCATCCTCTCTTGTGATTTCACATCCTCCTTATCCCTATGTGGAGTGCACATCCACCTTTCCAAAAATACTGACAAATATTTGCACTTTTGTGCTACCTTATAAATAGTTTTACCACTTTCTTTTCATCTTATTCCTCCTCCATCTTAGACCTTGTTCTGTCAAAGCATCCAATGTAGAGTTTGCTTCACTGGAGATTTCTCGGCACTGCTTCTTTAACAGTGTATTTTCTTTAAGTTCTTGAAAGTATTTTGGTTGATTTTAGAATTACAGGTTGGCAGTTATTTTCTGTGAACACAGCTTGTTATTGCTACTGAGAAAACAGTTGTGATCTAACCACCACTCCTACCAAGGTAATGCATCGTTTATTTCTGAATGCTTTTGAAAGCCCTTTCCGTTACTCTATTTCACTATCAAGAGTCTAGATGTAGATTTCTAGGTAGTCTGCTGTGATTATTTAATCTGCAAACTGGTATCATACTAATTCCAAAACATTTCCAGCTGCAGATATCAAATGTCTCATTCTGAAACTAAGAGTTCATTAAATCAACCTCATCTATCCTCCATGAGCAGAAAATATCTCATATTTTTCATCCTGCAGATGTGTTCCAGTTTTAAATTTATCTTTAAGGCCATCTACTTAAAATACTAACTTTGATAATTTTTCCTCTTAAAATTTTATTAAATTCTTTTTGAAAATCATCTGGATCACTTTTATACTTTGTCCAGTGCACTTTTCTTCCTTTTCTGGCACTAAACTTCCCACCCACTGGTGGTGATGGTTAGACTGTTAACCATTAGGAAAGCACACTGGGTATGTCTGTCGGGGAGAGGTCCAGAGACGACTGGCAGGCAGGGCAGCAAACTGCAGGATGAGAGCCGCTGTGTCTGAGGGTGGCTCCGCCCCACAGGCCTGAAGCCTGGGTGGGGTGAAGAGGGGAAAGAGGAAGACACTGGCTGCGTCTGAATGCTCCATTCTGCTTGTGTCTTTTGCTGCTGCCAGCACCAGTTTCTTCCACCTCTCATTGTGGACTGACACCCACAACTGTCCGAGCAGCTCCTGGGCCTTTAAGCTTGGACTGGCACTGTATCCATAATCCCTCTTACCCCAAGGTTTTCAGTTTCCTGGGCTGAGCAGCTACTCGCTTTCCATCACGTAAATAAGCCACTGTGGACTATCCCAACACTGTGGCCTTGTAAACCTATCTAATAAATCCTCTATATGTAAAAGGAACACACATGAAAAGGAATCAGGGTGCCTAGAAGACATGGCTGATAACATGTCTGTAACGGGAAATGTGTGCACTCACATACCGTTCTACTGATTCTGCTCCTCTAACCCTGGCTCCTCTAACTGGGGGACAGACAACTCTACCTTATTTTTCTAATACAGCTATTTTCTTTAGTGTGATGGCAGTCAGCTGTGTGTCTCAGTAGCTGTGCCGGGGGACTACAGGAAGCACTTTACGTTCCCCACTAGGCAGACAAATGGCAAGGTGTATGCACATGTGTCAAAGCACCAACAAGTAAGTTTTTACTCACCTTATGCTCTGTGTTTGATTTGTGTGTATTTATAACTTGTTTTATTAAATATTTTCTTTTGATTTTTCTTATAGAACTAGCCTAATTCAGTACAAGGTTGTATGAAAATCTGCTCTTATGACTTTGAGAGAGGCTAAAAGTGAGTCATCAGATGACTCAGCTACTGTGATGACTCGGGCCATGTAAGTCAAAGAAGCTGTGACAAAGACAGCAAGAAATGAAAACCAGTACAGAATGAAGACCTCATTTTAGATGGGAAAGGACTGTAAATAAAGTACTGTAAATACATGTTTGGCTACTCAAGATGCTACTAAATGGTCATGTACACCTGACCGATGCAATGTTAGAACTGGTCACAAAATGCTGCCTTGCCAGGGAGAAACCTACTGGACAGAATGCCAAAACTCATGTGAAACTTTTTAATTGAATAAAAGAACGGAAAAAAAAAAGTATTATTCATTAAATCCATTTTCACTCT